TTGTCTAAAACTGCGGGATTGTTGGGATTCGCGGGATTCTCGGGATTCGCGGGATTCGCGGGATTCGCGACTTCACGGGATTTGCGGGATAAGCGGGATTTAGCTATAACTTCTTTTAAAACAATTTTATATGAAATCTGCAAGAAGATACGGCTTCAGCTTGATGAGACGAATCTTTTGATTTACAGTATGTCCGTAATTCGTGGTGACGGGGTAGACATACAATGATACCTTGTTGTTTTCTATGTTAAGGCTTTTGTGAACATTCATGGCCCCGGTCAGACTTCACGCGATTTGATCGTCGCGACTCAATCGCCAACATTTCTATTCATTTTCATTTCACATTCAAAAATTTCGGGCTGGAAAAGTATCACAACCGAAATGCAAGTTAATCGGCATGGAATGACGTTGTAACAGTTGTCTCGTCGCGATTCAGTCGCGACGATCAAATCGCGTGAAGTCTGCCCGGGGCCTATCACAGCGTTAATCGCGATTAGCAGGTTCTGGTACAAAGTTCTCATTATCGAAAACTATCGCGAAAAATTGGGCAGTTTTTATTCACCCTTATTACTCACTATAAGCATTTTATCATTTATCACTGATAATATCACATTTTTGGATCATTTTTGGCATATGTTAAGAAAAGTACTGTAAGAAACGCTGAGTATTTCATCGCTCTTTCTCTAATTGTAAGTGATCTACAGGCTTTTCTAGTTCTATTGCTCGGTGCAATTGGTAGATCCCTCGCTCCAGCAATCGATCGATTTCTCATCGGCACATGCCACTGCTGCCAATTCTTACCTAAAATGGCATTTTTGCTTCAACTCGCTTCACGCCGAAGCCTGGGCTGAAATTCTGCACCTACATGGAAGACGAACGTGGGAATCGACCACATGAATTTAAGCCATTCTTATCTGTCGTTGTCATTGATATCATCATTTTATCATTTATCACTGATGATATCACAAAATTGGATCTTTTCTGACGTACAGTAAGAAATGTAGTTTAGAAAACGCTGTGCGAGTTTTTATCGCTTCATCTCTTATAGTATTTGATCTACAGGCTTTTTCAATTCATTTGCGCATTCGGTGTAGTAGATAGATCCCTCACTGCAGCAATCGATTGATCGCTATGAGCATGACACCGTCTCTTTGGAAACGTTGCTCTTTCTTCAGAAAAATCCACCGCTACATAAATCGTGAATGAACCGAGTCGCCTGTCAACAAGAGTTTCAACGATGAGCTGAACAGTTCTGTTTTCTGCGTATGGACATACAGATCCAGATCCACGAAGGCGATCGGTCTAAGGTGCGAAACGGCACAAACGGCGTGCTCGAGCATCTTTTCACCAGAGTCCACACGCCCGTGAACGATGCGTGTACATGGGCGGTTGCCTCCGTACTGAAGCTTTTATGAACTCTCCTATGCTCTACTCTATTTTTTGCTATCTACAATAGCTCACAAAATGTGCAGATTTTCTTTGTTGTCGTGATTCCGGAGGTTTTGCGAAAGTCCGCAGCATTCTGGGAGTTCTAATCATTCCGAGATTTCTGCGGAATCACGCGAATCGCGCAAACTACAGTACCCACACTAATTTTTCGACAGAAAACGCAAAAACTGACGATCCGCGTTTTTTTCGTCCTTTGTTCATAACTTTCTTCAGATTGCATAAACTAGGAATCCGACGAAAACATGATGTTTAGCTCGTCAAAATGAACCTTCTGATATACTACGCTCCCTTACCGGTCCGTTTTCAATTTGCTCGATTTTTGTGTGAGGACGGGTGTTCGTAGCGGTGTAACTCAGCGAAGAACACACAAGGAAGATTCTAGTAAACATGATCCAGTAGAGCTGTTTCCGTAGATTATTATGCGCTAGCGAACAGCGGAGGATCCCTTTTCCAAAGAGAAAGATAGGTCGATTTTTGGAAAAATCTATGTCTTTCAAATTTTAACTACCGTAACCATACAGTAAGGCGCTAATTTGCAAAGCAGGTGTGTTTTTCGTGATCAGCAGGTCAAATAACCTCTATGCGCAAGTTTTCCAACGAATTCGGGCCAGGGCCCGGCACAGATCGTCCGGAAGCAGGCTGGACTTCGTTTTTGAAGCAAACAACAAAGGGGGTATCGTTTTTGACGACTAGGAACCGAGCACCAAGAATAAGCTCCATTTAGTCGAACACAAGCTATTCGGACAGGTTATCACACGATTGACATGCTCTATCGTGCATGGCGAAAGGTGCGCGCGATTTGAAAGCAAGGCTTAAATAAACAAATTGCTTGTTTACAGCACACACAGAAGCATATGACACCAAAATTGAACTGTATGTATAGAAAATTATTTGCAAAAGAATTATGTAAAAAAGTATAAAAACCTATGTGAAGAAATATGTTTTTCAATATTAGATCGTCTCCAGACGGCCACCAGACGATCTAAGATCGTCTGGAGCATATATTTTCGTCACTTCACATAAGTTTCGGATCTTTCTAGCATGGACGGATTCTCCGGTTAAAAAGCTATCCCTGAGCATGAAGACATTTTCTTATCATTGCCTTTCCTTTGTTTTTTGCCTTCATTTCTTTTCGCTTTGTTAAATATCGCGCTCTAATGCCAAAGTCTTATGCATGCGTAGTATTCAGCTCCAATTTGGATTTTCACTCTTATCTTACGTCTTTTCTTTCAGACTATCAAATGTTTCTTATTTTCATCTTCTCCTAAGCAGGTAGATCAAAGGGGACTTCGTAAAACTTCCGAAAGTTAGGGGAGACTTCGTTTTCAGAAACCCTAGAAACCGACTCGTGCCGGGCCCTGATTCGGGCCCTTTGATTTTTTTTCGTTCTGGGCTCTGAAGTTCGCCGACGGGTTTTGGCCAAAATATTGATGATCATGGATTGGCCGGAAACTTCGCCCACAGGGGTTTTCGAACTCGCTGATTACGAAAACAGTGCTCTCTGTGCAGTAAGTTTTTATTTAGCAGAGTTATACCGAGTGAGCTGTCTCGAAACCAGGTAAGATTCTACGTTTGCCTGCTCTTTTCGCGTATTTGTTGAACAACTCACCCAGTTGTTTTTATAGCTAAACATTAACAGAAGCCGTGCTATTGATCCATGGTCATTGCAGGCCTCCGTCTGTAAAAACTGCCCAGTTACGAGCTCACGAAATCATGTTCTCATGAATTATGCACAAAATTTGAAGGTCGCCCACTTTGTCCAAATATGGTCCTGGTTGAATGTATAACACGCTATTTGCAAATGATGTTTACTCTGCTCAAGAACTTCTACTGTAAAAGGCAGATAATCGACGTATACAATATTTGAATTTCAGAAAATATTTTTGAGAACGTGATTTCGTGAGCTCGTAACTGGGCAGTTCTTACAGACGGAGGCCTGCAATGACCATGGATCAATAGCACGGCTTCTGTTAATGTTTAGCTATAAAAACAACTGGGTGAGTTGTTCAACAAATACGCGAAAAGAGCAGGCAAACGAGTACTCTGCGTTGATACCAGCTCACTCGGTATAACTCTGCTAAATAGTACTCTGCGTTGATACCACTGCT